AATTTAAAAAAAATATATATGTAAAAGAGATTTTCTTAATTAGATTTTCTTAGCCTTTTATGAGAATGAACAATTGATGCAATAATGTAGATAAAAACCACTTTTTGAAAAACGTGTCAGTATTAGTACCTCATGGGTGACGTAGAAATCTATTGAAATATTTCCACTTAATAAATTTAAAAAAAAATTTATTTTTAATAAATTTTAATAAATTTTTTTAAATTTTAATAAATAGGGAGAAGAACCTACTCATAGAACCTAATCAGATAGTGCCGCTCCTAACGCTCGGCGGCGCTGGCCCTAGCGGCTGCGGCGCGCGCGGTAAGGAGAGGAAAGGAGGCGTATACCACGGAAATCGGCTGAAATGTTCAGACTAATTCCGAGCACTGCTTTAGAAAATTATTTTTATTATTTAAAGTAAAGTATAAAAGTTACACACACAATAAAAATTTATATTATTTAATTTTTATAATAATAAATATTTTTTATGTATATGTTTATAGAAAATCTTTATTCTTTATAATACATGTTTGTATTATCATACGTTATTCTTTTACCTTTATCTGTTCTCCGTCATATACAGCGATATATGCAGTATTGCCAAACCAGACTCGAAGTGGAGATGAAAAATCATTCACTAATGTATTCGTAACTTGTATAATTTCTAAAAAGAATCTTTTTATTACTTAAAAAAATATTTTTTTTTTATTTAAAAAAAAATTAACTAGTTTCATATTAATATTAAATTCCATATGTTCCATAAATTAATATAAATTCCATTTCAAAGGAATTACTTAAAAAAATTTTTTTATTATAAAATACTGAACAATAAAATATAGTGTATGATTTAATGTACGATTCATTATAAATGTTAAGCTCTTTGCATAGATATAATCAACGCATAAGATGATTCTGTAACTTGATTTATCGAGCGGTAGAGAAGAACTATTCTTGTTCATGGAAATATATTTAAAAAATCATATTATGATTTTTACAATAAAAGAAAAATAGTAAGTCTTAAGTCGCAATGTTATAGTAAAAATTTACTCAATATATATAATAGTATGTAATTGTATTGTGCAGTACACAAATTGCGAGTGTAGATATGCATTATGATTGAATAATGTAAGCAATTTTCAAATTTTTATTGTTGACTTTTAAGAAGTTTATTCTTCTCTAATAATTGTAATTAATTATTAAGATAAAATTATTAATTACAAAATTGTAACGCAGATATATTTAAGTAAAACAATGTTCTCTGAAATTTAATTTAATGTTAATTAATTTAATGTTAATTCTTTTATGTTAATTTAATGTACAAACTATATTACCAGAAGTATTTATACACAAACAAAATTTTTTTATTTTTGGGCTTTGAGAATGCTCCTAACTCGTGTTTCGTTTCACATTAACAGGATGTTTTATCAAAATCATAACCCTTGTTCGAGAGCGTTTCTAGCTTAACTAGCTTATCAACGTTTTTCTACTTACGACTACATTATTTATGTCCAAGATCTATAGAGAGAAGGTTACCTCAGTAAAACCGGTTGAAGGATAAGATCTATAGAAAAAAGGTTATCTCAGAAAAACCGGTTGATGGCAAGGGACGATGAAGTAAGGAAGGAGCTAGAAACAGCTTGATGGCGAGGGGCGATGAAGAAAGGGGAGAGTATGATGATCTAATCGACAAACAGTAGCTGTCTGAGATAGCTTTTGTTTGCCGATGAGATCATCATTGCCCCTCTTGCCGCTCAACCCTCTCTGCATTTGCCCTTCTTGCCGCTCGTCCCTCTTTGCGCATGAGGTAACCTTCTCTCTATAGATCTTGATTTATGTCAATTTTTACACTAAAGATGGCCACATTCCTTAGGCCGAAACGTTTATTGTAATAATTTTTTAATAAAATAAACTTTAGAGCAATTCTATCTGACTCCTGCTTTATTAGCTTGTTGTTTCCACGATTATTATTTTAATAAGGAAAAGCAATATCTTAATATTATTTGTATTTTTAATTCTTTT